AAAGAAAGGTCATCTGCCAAACTTGGTTCAGAAATATATAAACCAAGCAAATATAGCCTTCATGAAACATTAGGGGGGTGGTTTGGCCCCTACGTGAAGTCTCTGGTAGGCTCTACCTGTAAGTGTTTTCTTTGGTTGTCATGTTGCATTCCAACGTGGTAAACAATCCATTCAGTATGTGTGAAATAAAACGCAGCGATGCCTACCTAAATAATACGTCCCCATCTCTGTCACCATGCTGTTGCTAATAGAAACGAGGTACGGGTTTCTAACGCAGTCCCTCTTCAAGTCAATCACCACAGCCTGCGTGGAGTTCGTCGCGGACGAATTGGTCGCGTTGTTCGCCCCACTTCCCGCGGAGGAATTGGTAAAAGAACAACTGCTGAAGTCCGGAACCGTCCAGTTATAGTCAAACGTTTCAGTGGTTGGCCTCTCGTCATAACGCAATAGGACTGTTAGGTTTCCTATGGATTCATTTCTCGGTTGTACCTGAATGTGGACGGAGAAATTTGAAGAATTTACCTGAATAGTGTGATATTGTATGTACTTTTTGTCTCCCAGGGGTATCACGTAGAATTCTTCTTCTTCAGGCAGCTCGCTTGCATTACGTGGTATGTAGATGTCGACATAGCTACTGAAGTTTGACGTGGGCAGGGACTTTCCGTATTTGTCTTTGAGTGTGAGGCTAACTGCGTAAGACTTAACTTCTTTGCTGGTGTTGGACCAAGTATGCACGTTCTTAGGGATGGAGTTCATCTGAGGGAGACACAAAACTCGAGTTAACGATGAATTTGAGTCTTATTTGATCTTTTCTCTATAATATCTGATGTGCTAAAGCTTGGCTGCCTGGCTGTTAAGTGCCATAGAGAACTCTGAGCCTCTCAAGAATTATATGTACATTTCACAACTGCGATGATCAATCATATCTGCATACCTTTCTCCGCAGTTTAATTATACGGTCTTCCATATATTCACTTGTAATATTATTATTATTATTATTATTATAAGAAACAATCCTATAAAAGTAAAATTTTCAGAAGAGTTATCCAGTGCGTAATTCATGCGTAATGCATGCGCATTCATTGGTTATTTAGTCAAACGTACCTGTATTTGAACAGTTGAGTACTTTTCTGTTCCGTTTGACTCAAAACTCAGTCCCATTTGTTCCTGTGATGGTAAAGAGAACTCGGAGTAATTATCTGAAATGGAGGAGTTACCAACTTCAGAAAAAAAGGATTTCTTCACAGTGAGGTTGAAATCGCGTGTTTCCATCAGAATGGAGGGCTCTCCAGCCACCATATTATCCATCACGATACTCCCTAAGTCATCAACTATTGACAGAAGTTTCACCGTTCGATTTCGTGCCTGCAAGTGAAGAAGAGACTCTGTTAGAGCAGTTTTCTGCTGAGCGTTGAAAGCGACTCCCATTTGCTTTAGTTTTTCATTATAACATCACGCGATTGACCTAACGAATTCGCGCTACTTCGTCATCCAATCAGAAGTAAGACCAAAACTAATCGTGACTCGTTCGCAGACGTCTTCCCGAGCTTCGCACGAGTCACAAGTTTTTCCTTGGAGTTTTGATTCGTCAATGGATTTTCTCTCTATCATCTGTGATTGACCAGGGTGATTACTTACTCACACTGAATTGAAAACCGCTCTCTTTGTTTCTCGGCACGTATTACCAAGAGGGGCAACTGGGGTGCTAGGGGTACGTAAAGTAATGAGAGGATGAAAATCAGACTTTTTTTTCGCAAGACTCAGAATTCATGTATGACATGACTGGCCGAGCTAAGCTGCCATACTGTGTAACCTATTTTGACCACTTTACATTAAAACTTGAAAATTCTTATTGCTTAATACATCAAGTTATTTTGCAGTACATATTTTTGTAGTATCCACTTTTATGTTTTTATTTAACATGATTTGTATTCTTTATATATATATGTTTTTTTCACGTGTAAATTGTCTTAACCTAGCTGGCACGTCCTCGATCGAGACTTCCTTTGTGAAATCTACTGAACATACCCACGTCATTGCCGTTGGGGCGGATCTAGAATGGGAGGGGGGGGGGTGGTTGGGGGTTTGGTGGGAATTCTGCCGAGCCCCCTAAATTGAAGAAATTAGACGTTATAACACGATGACTTGGCATCAGAATGTCGGAAATCCCATTTCCAAGGATCTCAGTTTTAAAAAATTTCCGGGGATGGATGCCCCCGGACCCCCTACAGGGGACCCCATTAGGCGATATATATCTCGAAACCCCTACTCTAAAATCCTGTATCTGCCCAACTGGATAATACTGGGGTTGAGCTGAGAATGGAAACCATGGAAATGGCAAATGCAAAATGAATAAAATAAAACAATGGAAAAGAATCTGATTACTTACACTTTCCTTAACAGAAACGACCCCTCCCTCAGTTGAATTACCGGTATAACCGGTATAACCGGTTATATTTTCCTTTGAGTCAGTAGCATCAACTCTTGCCAAGGAAGCTGAAGATTGAAGTACATTTGCAATTCCGCTCAGAACGGAACCGACAGTTGATCTTACAACCGTGAAACCCACGCTGTCGTTTGATTCTCTCTTTAATACTGAAGCCATCCGCTTGAAAGATCTGAAGGCCAATTCCTGAAGAAAGGCAACGCAAGAATCCTTTGTCATGTATTATAAATTAGAATTGTACACTGGACTAAACTGTTCTGGATCGATGTCTTCCAACAAAAAATTAAAACTAGCAAAGTGACGCAAATGATTTTTTTTGATGTTCTTAAGCTATATTTAAGGTGGCTCACCACAGTTTTGATGGATTATAACGGCCCACCTTCTAACTCTTTTGAAAAATGTTCCAAGATGTTTTTCCTTTCTCTATTTACTGTTTACTTAAGTATTTTACCATTCCATGTGAAACTTGAACAATGAAACGTCAACAAATGGCCAAAATGAACCGGTCATTGTGATTTGCGTTTGATGAACTCGGGCAGAGAAATCTCAGTATTATCGTGATGTCATCGTTATTAAAAAGCCTCGTTTTCAAAACGTTTTCCGTTCACACTAAAACGCAAAACCGGTGTTTTGAAATTCCTCCGATTTGAAGAACATCTTCGAAAGGTTCCGTTTTCGCGACGGATTAGTGTGGACGGTAGGCCTAACCGTAGAAATAAAGCTGAGTTTTCAAATTCCTGCGCCGTAGTGTGGACGGGGCTTTAACTGACCTGAGCTTTGGTTTCCACTTCAGATTCCACCTCAGTCGCAACATCAATGGCAGATGCTACCAGTTTGATATGCCCCACGGAAGAAATTTTAAACTCTGACATATCTTTGAGAATCGCAGTACGAAGCTAAAAACAATGATAGGAAAATGAGACATTACATGATTAAATGTCTTGGTGCCATCTTGATTCCATCTTTGCCTACTCCAGTAAGTACTCATTTTGAGAAAAGTTATTAGACACCCACAATCACTGATAACTGGTAAGTGTAATCGTGAATATCATTTATTCGCTTGGCATTTCGCAGCGATAAACTGCGATCACAGAGTAAGATTACTCAGCGATCTCTCTATTAGAGTTGACTTTCGAACCTAATCTGACCACAAATGGGTTCTTGATTGAAGATCATTTATGGTGCAACTAAATAAATAGCTGTTCCTTTGAAAGAATGAGCGTAAGGAAATAAAAGCAAGCGCCTTGTAATTAGTTAGTCTCGATTTCCAGCCGTTTCTTGAGCTCGCATTTCTTGCACCACACCGTTTAGTTGGAAGGAAGATTGTAGTGTCTTTCCATGTTTGGTTAATACTTATACACCACGTCCCCCGTGATAGCGTTGGATAAAACGACGTAACGAAAGAGTTGTATGTGAAACCCGAGTGTGTAATAAAGAGGAGAAAGGACGTTATATGGATCACAAGCGGCCTCCCAAAACTGCTGCAAATCGAGTGTAGTGATGGGTTGGCTTGCTGGCAAATAACCAGACAAAGTCCGGGCGATAAACGTGAATTCAAACTCACAAATTCGATTCCGATCCAAAAGATCGAATTGACTGGACAGATAACTTTTTTTCTTTCAGTCTTAATTGCACAGATGTACAAAAACCTTTAGAAGCGATCATCGTAAGTTTCACAAACCTCTACTCGTGTGTCTTTTGATTCTTGTTCCTCCTTTGCTTCAGCTCCCGTCAAGTTTTTTTGCGCGGCCTGCCTGCCACCGTAGTTCAGAATCGAGCCAACAGCATTGATGATTTCCACCATTTCTTGGAGATCTCCTCTTTTCAATGCTTCTTTTAACAAACCGTCCTCGCCGCTGATCAGTTCTCTAAGCTTTTCGTTGGAAAAATCTGTGGGTTTCACCTTTTTTACAACGAGAACAAACACTTTGATTAAGTTTAGCTAAGCTACGCGAAAGGTATCGGCCTGCCAATTCAGTAAAGGTAAAAAATGCCGGAAGGTGACCAAAGACTTCTGGAAAAACAAGAAACTATAGTCGAAGCTCACCTTTCGACCACTCTCGTAAGCGACCAGCTCTAGTTACGACCACCTTTGTGCAACCCCATTTGAACTGTGACTTAAACTTCGTAATGAAAAGCTCTCGTAAGCGATCGCTCCTGTAAGCGACCGCGACCACTTTTGGGATTACCCAACTGGACTTTTCCTTTGTTTTTAAGCTCTCACAAGCGACCACTCAGGGTCTTTTACATATAAATCAACACTTTAATGAAACTGCACACTGCGCTGATGGTTATTTTGGTCTAAAAAATTGAATATAAAGTTTATATCAGACATAGACACATTAAACAGTAATTTCTTTTGTTTTTCTTTATTTTTAATGAGTTTCTAAAGCTCTCGTAAGAGACCACCTTTTATTGTTTTACCACGCGGTCGCTTAGAGAGCTCAAGCGACCGGCTCTAGTTACGACCACCTTTTCGAATTTCCGAGGTGGTCGCTTACGAGAGCCTCGACTGTAGTTACTTTTCACTTGTCCCTTAGCATACAAATTCCCCTAACCATCGCAAATTATATCTTATAAGACTCATTGGGATAATTTTAATTTCTAGTGAGACTTCAATAACTTGTTACCATTGGCTTCACGTGATACTGAAAGAATCTGATCTGGTATATGTGACAAGTGAAGGTGGTGTACATCACAGCCCTTTGGACGAGGGCCAACTCTTTACCTATACAAAAACATAGTAAAATAAAAGTGTCTTCTTGACCGACGATTTTAAAATTTCTCGAATCTTGATTGTCGCGAAGCTTTTATAATCGCGAAAATTAAAACGCGCGAAACTAAGTGACAACAAGGTACTTTAAGTACGTAGGAATGTCTAAATGCGGGATAATTCTTATGAAAGGCATACCACAAGGATGTATTTTTCCCCACGACTCGGCGGGATGCCAACGAAGAAAAACCACCTCTACCCAGATCATACCACGAACCAAACAAGTTTCTGTCGCATCTTCCTACCTTAATTACCACTTTTTTTACAGTGGAGGAACCCCAACGATCGGTAATCTGAATATTCAGGGTCAGATTGAAGTCGTTGGTTTCGTGTCCCATCGGAAGAACCATCGACGGCGCAATGGGTTCACTGGACACATAGAACACGGATTCCTGCACGTAGTTGATGTATGAAAATTCGTATGTCAGTGGTTGATCCGGATCTTGCCAGCCGCTGCAATTTATTCTGAATGAAGTGTTCATGGCGCTTCCAATCTTTGGTTCAACTTCACAAGTCCCTGGTAAATTATTTTGCAGATGATCATGTTAGAAATGCTAATAGATGAACGCTTTATACTGAAAATTCTAGGAAACACTCGCTCTTCCCAACAGGTAGCTAAATTGTTTGGAATAGTGTTATGTAACAATACAATTATGAGCTCAAGATTTGTAATTAAACAATAGAGTGTTTCTGTCGTGGTACTATCGGCTGATAGTTACCCCGGGGAACTTCAATGTTCTTTAAAACAAATATTTGTTTAAGAACATAAAATTTCCAAGGGGCAATTCCGAGAAACGAACACTCTATTGTCTTTACTGTTCATCACTAAATTTCCTTCTGCGTACCAGTTCAAAAATCATTTTCCACTAGTACAAATTCTACTTCCAACGCTTTGTACATCAATCAGCTAAAGATGACAGGAGAATCTGTCGAAAACAGGTCTTTGAAACTTAAAAGTTTTGTCGTTTTCTTTAAGTTCAAAAATCATATTGAATTATTTTCATTTTTTTTAGATGAAAGGCGTGAAAGCCAAATTTAAAATTTGAAAAAGAAAAGAGACAAACTGCGTCTTTTTTTTTTTTACCTATAAGCCCTCCTATGAACAAAATATTTTTCACGGACGAGTACTATCCATCCGGGTATTTTTCTCGGACGTGCTCTATGGGCAGATAGAGTCTCTCCGCCGACGAACACTATCGCGTCTCGTGACCAATTTAAATCAATAAGGATCGCAAATAATTTAGTGGTGAACTATCACGCACAATAATTTAGAGCGAATTTTTTCCTACTTCATTATTTAAATCGCCTCTTTCCTATTTAACATGGGCAAGTCTTTAAGAGGTAACTTTAGTAAAGACACACTATAAAATTTATTTACCGTTTTCGGGTGGCGAGTTTGTAACAAAGGTATGTATATATTCCCCATATTGCCCATTTAGACGATAAGCCCTGAAGAATGCGGTAAATCCAGTATCTTTAGGTAGCACATCTTCTTTTAATGCCAGATTCAGGGAATCAATTGGTGTTGTTGATTTTTCCTCCAGATTACTTATCTTCACCATATTGTCTGTATCGATAGGGTCCGTGCCCAGTTCTTTGTGACGGAAAAGCTCCCAGCTGAAGGTGAGTTCCCCGAAGCACACTTTACAAGTTCCTTGCAAAGGTAGCTTCTGGTCGATATTGACCTTTGGAGAGCAGGAAGGGCTACAGCTGATGAATGAGAAATCAAGATAGTTAATAATGCTGATAATACCAAGTTATGGCCTGCGTAGAAAGCGTTCCTGTATGAAGAGCTTTTTCCGCATTCTGGCCGCGCGTCCAAAAATTGACGAGGCAGGGGTTGGTGGAACGCTTGGCTGCAAAACCCTCGATTTTTCCTGATTGGTGCGGTGTGGCCATGTTAATTGGCAAGTGTATAAATTCGCTTGAATGATTCCAGGAAAAAGTCGAATGTGACTTGCACAATGCCTTGGAGGGGGTCTAAGCTAGCCATTTTTTCTATTCTCGCTCCAATATTTGCGTGGTCAGAATGCGGAAAAGCTCATCGTTCGGGAACGCTTGCCACGCAGGCTGACCAAGCTATTGCCTGTCTAACTTTAAGTCGCCCTCAGTAAAACAGCCCAGCAGCGCCGGAGGCAATCTGGAAGGTCTGTATTGGGGAGCTGAAATCTCGTCAGTACTTATCAGTTAAATCGACTATTTTTTTTTATGTGAAACAACTAAATGGAAACTGGGATTGTCACGAGACTGTAGGAAACGATTGTCAAATGCTTACGTCACTTCCACTTCAGGAGGGTCTCCAAAGGTGATTTCCAGCTCCTGTTTGTAGACAGCCTTTTTGCTCCCGAAGGGATTTTGGGTAACGAGGACGAGTGTGATCACGTACCTAAAAATATAACAATTAGTTACTATTAATAAGCATTATATCTTTAACTTGAGAATTATATGAGATGGAAAAGTTAAAAAGACATGGTGGTGATACTCTAGCTTATAGGTCGACCGAGGCATGCAGCCTTGGTTTACAGCGTACATCTTTGATATTGGACATCCACGTTATGGTCAATTGACAGCTGTCAAAAAAAAGGTGTCCACTGACCAGCATCACGTGACCATAACGCGGGCTCCGATTTAGGGTTCATTGAGGTCGAAAGCTGAATCAAATACCACCTCTGTGTGTTCGGCAACAGGATGAGCCCGCGCTGTTACAAAGTAACGAGACCTCGTGACCTATCCCCTTGTTGACACGACAACCTTTGAAGTTCTCATAATTGAACAACAGTAACACTCGGAAGTCAACGTTTAATTTTACTGGAAGTTCGTTGATAGTAGTAGTTAAAAAATGAGTTATTTGCCATCACACTTACGTGTCATTTTCTGACATTCCCCGCCTTGAATCAAGAATTGCAAGATGTCCCTTGTTAGCGAGGCGCCCCTTTCCCGTTTTAAAGCACCCTCCACGATTCTGAAGAAAATCAAAACACCGTGACAAAGTTTGTGCCTGCGCAGAGAAATTCACATTTCTTGGATAATCAATGTAATGCAATGCAACGTTCCTTGGGATGCCCCTGATAAACAAAACACACAAAGCTTTGCCCAAACTAACTGCAGGCGAGGACTCAATCTTTTCAGATCAGTTCTTATTGTACGTTCGTACTGCCTTGATTCCCATGCTGATCGACGGCTGTGGGTTGAACCTGCCACAAACATTCTAACCAATGTTGGCCTGACTTACACTGATGACTGCTATCTGTGAATTGTGCTCTACAATTTACTAGGTTTGGTTAATTAATATTTTTCTTTTAGCAGAAATTAATGACAAATGGTTTCGTTTTGCTATCATAGGCGCACATAATAAGAAACGATCAATCTAATATAAAAAGTAACAAATTAAAAGAAGGAATCAAATTTACTTCAGAAATGTTACGGATGACGTCACCATCAAGTTCTGGTATGGACACAACATCAATAGCATCGACATTTCCACTTGTGTCAAATTCAGGTTCTGACGAGTTACGACAAAGCCAATAGAATGTCGGCTTAGCAGACTTTAAAGACTCAAAGTCTACATCCTTTGACTTTTCGGCATTCAGCGTTATCTGGTAGAAAGAAGGTTAAGTAAGATCTACATAGGTAGACAACGCAGGAGCAAAGTGGCATAATAGCTAGTTGCTCAGCTACTTAGTCCAAGGTCCAAGTACTGATGAGAGGTCCGGCGTTTGAGCCATAATTATCAAACATACAATATTATTTCCTTGGAAAAAAATATGCAGCTCTCAGAGTGACTCGCTTTTCCCAGTACAAGGCTTGCAGGGCTTTATGAAGATGATAGGGGTATTTATTTATTTTTTTTTTTGGTCTGGGAATTATCAAGCTCTGACCTGGTAGCTTGCTCTTTAGTCCGAAGAGACTACCATAGACTAACATCCCATCAAGGGTGGGGGGAGGGGGGAGGGGGGGAGGGGGTCGCATCAATTCACCTAAGTCACTTTGAACGTTTTTAGGATTAAGCATAGGTCTTCTGAGCCACTTTTTGATGTTAACAAGTGACGAGGAAGAAGTACTGACCTACATGCAACTATGAACACTAATGACTCACTTTTTTATAAAGATGCCGAGGTTCCAAACATAGTCAAAAAAGAAGAAAGGGGAGGGGTTGGAGCCAATAATCTTTAAAGGAGCTTAGTCGCGATATTTTCAGTTATTTTGGCCACGCACAAAATTAACTTTAAATTGAAGAAAACCTGAAAATAATAGTTTACTTAGATAGAAAAACAGTAAAGGGATAATAAAAAACCATAAATGAACAAGGATGGTTAAGGATGGAGGGGATTAACACCGATTACAAACGACGAATTTGAAACATTTAGGCTAAACTTTTCAAGATGTCCAAACCGTGAAGTAGGTCCTTTAAAAATCACTTAACGGCTTTTAAATTCTGTCAAGCGTTCGATCTGTAAGTGGAGATTATTGATTTATTATATTTATCATTGACAGTGCCAGTAGTAGAGAACCGTCTATCTCGAAAGATAATGGAAGCGCCTTGGTCGGTCAAGACCAGTCCTGTTGAGAGCGGCGTCTGGAGTGGCTCAGCAGTGCGATCCTTCCATGATAGTCTTTTCCGCAGGCGTTGCAGACAAAGTTAGAGGGTGGATTGACGGCCTGAGATTATATTTATCATAAACTGTAACGTATCATTGTGGTTTAGGCAACTTACGTTTCCTCCAAACTTGTAACGTTTCCGCAGGCCTCCATCCACAAACGCCTGCAGAGAATCTTGGGATTGTGTTGCCACCACGTGAATATAGCCAATCGCCGTTCCGGAAACTCCCTCAACGTCTTCCATCGAGACGGTAAAGACACACTTGTAAAAGCCGAAATTAAGTCCAATCTCCCGAACATACAATTCTGCCTGGTTACTTTCCCACACAGGCTTCTTAGGCTCCTCAGCCTCGGCAAAGGGTTGATAATTGACCTGATCTTTTGATGCATTGAAGATTTCCCACCTAAAAGCCGTAGATTTTGAAGCCTCACAGTTGACCTCTATCTCGGCCTTGATACTTATAGGCTCCGAGCGATTCATCTTTGTTGCCGTGGTTGCATTTGGACTCACACCTAAGTAGAAGAACCAATTTCAAAACTGCTCACTGGTTTGAAATTGAGAGACGTGTACTCAACCCTGAGGATCACAATTTAATTGTGCTGGGATGCCCCTCTTATTGGATCAATGTAATTCAATAAATCAGAGATAAACTGTCTTAGGGCTTAACCAATCCAAAATAAAATCAAATCTCCGCTTTTTGCACCACACATGTATTTTTTCTGTCTTTTTCTCGAACTACCTGTTGGTTTAACTTCTAACCGTTACCACTATGGGGGCTTTTAGAGCTCCTAGATTACGCAGGTAAACAAATGAAGCTAACAACAACAGCATCACCATAATCAACAACAACAACAACAACGTTACTCACCCAACAGGATAGCGTTTGGATAGAAGCAAGACAGTGCGACCGTGACAGATTTGTACTTTTCTGTAAGGCGTGACACATTGTTGGTGGCGTTGACTGTTACCCAGAATTCGTCAATAGTAGAATAATTGTAGGGTTGAATGATTTCGGTGGTGTTATCATCCTTCGATTCATATTTATTTGGTGCTATGGACTGACAGTGGCTTCCTCCGAAAAAAAACAAACCCTGTCCGTCACCCATATCCATTTTGACGCACGTTCGAGTGCCAAACCGAGTAAAACCAAGCGTGAAAGTGGTAGTCCTGTTCACCTTCACGGGACGACCTCCGTCATCAATAGTGAGGCCTTGGACACTTTTTTCTGTTTTAAGTCGAAAGGACTTGGTGATACTGCTCACCAGGTTGTGTACTGTCACATTTGTCCAATATTCAGCTTCAGTTTCTGCGTACTTGTGGGTGGTGGTCGACACGCTGGTATTCTTTACCGTGCCATCGTCAAACTTCCACAAGTAAGTTAAATTTGTTCCCTTATCGGGCATAGCAGTAAAATTTACTTTGTGTTCACAGGGGAAGATATTTTTCTCTGGTCCAAATCCATGAATGTTCGACCCGAAGTCACTTGTGGTCGTCCAAGTATTGAATGACACTTGTGTGACGTCATCCTGAATTATAAGGGTAATAGAGCGAGTTGCCTCAGAAACTTCATTCTGGGCTCGAAGCTTGACAAGATAAACGCCTGCTGAGACAATGTTACTGCCTGTAGTGAGGAAAAAATCTCCGGTGTCTGTTTTCATCTTAGTATAATTGATCGTTGTTCCTTCGGCCTCCAGATGAAAAGTGACATTGGTACCGTTTGCCATCGTCCAGTTGATAGGATTGTTCTGGCCACGAATCTTAGGAGATATGTAGGGTAACTCAAGATCTTCAATTGGTTTTTGTACAACTGCGTACAAAGTATCGTTCATTTTGCTGTTTCTGTTCGAACAGTTAACGTAAACCTCGTAGCGTCCCACTTCGGTGTAATTGTGGTACGCTTTGAACTTCAGATTCATAAAAGGGGTCCTGTCTGCGGTGACACCATCCGCGAAGTAAGTCAGATTGTAACAGCTCTTTCCAAAGAAGCCGAAGCTGCCATCTCCGTAGTCAAAAAGGCATTCAAAATCGGAAGCTTCAGCTAAAGACATCGTGAACTCCACAGGGTCACTAAGATTCGTGGCAGGGCTGGTCACGCTGAGCCCGACCAATGGAATCACTGGCTTGCACACCGTTACAGTGCTGTTCAATGTGACGCGGCTGATGAAATTAAACACTGTAATATTCAGCACGTATTCTCCATGAGTAGTATAAGAGTGGTTTCCAATGGATTGACGCAGTGTCAGGTTTGTTTGGTCACCAAAATCGTAGAAATATTGCGGATCTGTTCCGTTGACGCTCACGTGAATTCTGAGTGTCCCATTCACTTCCAGACATTTGGTGTCATACGTTTGCTATCAAGAAATCGAAACAAATTTCTCGTTAGCTTGGTAATTTACAGGTTAGCACAAAATGATTCACAACGAACTTTCCATTAGATTAAGGTCGAAGTAAAGTCATAACGATCCTCTTCAGTGCTTCTTGATCTTCGAGGGCAAGGGGCGTCTTGGGTGTCTCACTGAGGTGAATTGCAAGTAAAATGAGACATAGTTGCGGTAATTAAAAAGTTGGACCTTTCATCAGTCGCCAACGATTAGCGTATCGCAATTGATTCTCGTTTTTCTCGGTTCTGATTGGATGACAAAGTTACCATGATATCGTAGCCATATCAGGCCAGTGGCTTGACATCGTTGGATATCGGAACAGTAGACACAGCGTCTGATTGGATATTTCCGAATTTTGGTATGGCAAAAAATAAGGTAAATGATTTCGAAACTTATGCAGAGAAAACTGCGCTGTTAGATAATGATGAGAGCTTTCAGTTTGTTTTAACGAGTGATCGATAGTGTGTGGCCGATGTCTCTGTTGCTCGGGGAGTACTTGACCTATGTTTGGGCATAGGGGATCCGCCGAGGGTTCAAAATCCTCACCCTGTTTAGGACAAAAATACTCTAAAAGCCCTACCCTGTAGGATTGCACCCTATATTTTAAGGCCCTGTTTAGGACAAGAGACGAAGGTCAGAAATCCAATGCAGGAAGTCATACATGTTAAGGCGCAAACAAGGGTATAAAGATCTTTCGAAAGGTATAGCAAAGCGGAAGAGAGCTCTAAAGAGACAAACAAGCAACCATACCCTGTTTAGGACAGAGGCACGTAAAATTGCACGCCCTGTTCAGGACGGTGAGGCCAGAAAGCATACCCTAACCAGCGGCATGTCCCCATACAAGCAAAATTGGGGGTACCCCCCACCACTCCCCCGGGCTCTGTTGCAGAAGCATAGCTGTATTTTGAGTTTACTTACTCACCTTCACGGTAAGATTCCTAATTGGATCTTGTACTTGTGCTATACTACTGGCTGTCATGGAATCCAGCAAATTCCGTGCCTGGATCGTAACATTGTAGTGACCGGCCGTGCTGTAATTATGCCACAGGGAAATAACAAAAATGTCCAATATGTCGTCCACATTCACAATCCACACAGGCTCGGAACCGTCACCGAAGTTAACAGTAACATTAACATTGCTTCCGTTCCGGATTTCGATGCCAATGTTTGTCGGGTATCCCGTTTCTACCGGCGTAATGTTCTTGACAAATCCAAAACCATTGATTGGCGTAACCACCGAGATCTTAAAGTTGAGAATGGCCTCGGAGAAAAAGTTTTTTGCTACTAAGAAGACGCAGAACTCGCCGTTGGACGTATACCTGTGTGAGATGGTGCGGTTCGTGGTGTTTTGGACCGTGGAGTTGTCACCATAATCCCACGAATACCTGAAATATAAACACGATTATCATCACACTTGTTTTCCTAAAGCGGTTACAAGGGTACTACAAGGCAAACTGGCTAAAACTTTAGGAAAAGGATGACTTCATCTCCCTTGACGAGTGACAGACGGTCAACATTTTATAATAAACAACCAGAAAGAAGATTATTATCCTTTTTATTTAGCAACTGATTAACCGTCCAAATTTTAAACTATCGCGGTACAGTTCAGCTATGTCTTATTCTAACTGCAATTCAACTTAGTAGTGAGATATCCAAGCCTTTTCCAACCCTTGGAGATTCAGAGGATCGTTATTACTTTGCTTCGCCCTGAAAATCCACCCGGACGACTTTGTGGGTAAATCTTCTGGTTGACGAATACTTTAATACGGCTAATTTTCTAAAGGAAGTGTTTTCTTAGAGATATTGCAGCTTACACAACACCATTGTCGCGCACGTCTCATTTTGAATGTCTACTAGATTCCAATTTAAGTATGACTACCCTAGGCAGAGAGGGCCGGGGTCACTCACTAATTCATGTCCTTTAAGCGTGAGCAAAGAGCGACTGTTTTCTAGTCAGAACTCCTGAACTTACCGTTACCGACTCTACTCGTAGGCGAAACGTTAGAAATTAAACGAAGATTACGTTGTACGTCCAAAAAAAAAACTTACATAACACCGTGTCCTTTGTGAGGTTCCACCGCAAACTCGGTCAGTTCATATGCACGTGTCAAGTTTGGGTACGACACCCGGATTGGTTGCTCAATGGCGTCATATACTTTGATGTTCTTTTCGAGAGAGGCCATGTCACCTCGCTGGTTATACATCGAGAGTTTAACGAGATGGCCTGGGTCCGGGTTGGATGTAGGGAAAAACTTTGACACTGTTTTGTTTGGACATTGAATGGTCTCGTTGTCGTTGAACTCCCACACAAACCTGGTTAATTAAATCGTAAAATTGTCTTTGAACATGATCTGGAACTATCGAAAGCGAAAATGATTGATTGGGCCTCACATTTGCCTCCAAGAACAATGTGTAAGCTTAAAATACAGTGTATAACAAGGTATGTGTCAGCCAACGGTCGAGGGGGCTAGTTTAAAAATGTCTAGCTACTGTTTCCAGTATGACATTTTTTTTTATCATTGGAGGGTACACGAACATTTTTAAAAAAGCCGCCATTTTTAAGGTTCTGTTATGGTGTATGCGCGCAGTGCACGCGACCGGAAACCGTGGTGATTTTTTAGTGAGATGATTGCTTTTAAGTGGCTTACCTTTTTATAAATATACCTAAAAACACGTAAGCTCCACGATAAAGTGATAAAAATTTAGGCACTGCAGCTGGCTTGAGTAAGCGAGCGAGTCAATGTGAAATTAAGGAGTGGCGACTGACAAAGCTTCGAGAACATGACGTCAACTTACGTGTAGTTGCTTTCATCCGGCACTTCTGTAATATTGGTTCTAGTGAATTCCACTGTACTATTGGCGGCTCCAATTTCAGGATTGGATTCGAAATCAAAGTCGACGACTGAAACATAAAAAGTATTACAATATTAAGCCGTGGACCAAAAAACAAACAAACAAACAAACAGTCAATCAGTCAGCATCCAATCAGTTAGTCAGTCAGTCAGGTTAGTCAGTCAGTCAGTCAGTCAGTCAGTCAGTCAGTCAATCCGTCAGCATACAGTCAGTCAGTCAGTCAGTCGATTGTTCGGTCGGTCGGTCGGTCAGTCAGTCAGTCAGTCAATCCGTCAGCATACAGTCAGTCTGTCGGTCGGTCGGTCAGTCAGTCAGTCAGTCAATCAGTCAATCAGTCAGCATACAGTCAGTCAGTCAGTCAGTCAGTCGGTCTGTCGGTCGGTCAGCCAGTCAGTCAGTCAGCTAGTCAGTCAGTAGGTCAGTTTGTCCCCCTGCCACTTGATGGCGTCGTGTTCCGTGGTCTCGGGTTAAACTCATCCATGCTTTGTAAAAAGCCAACCAGTCAGATTTTAGACACATTTTCTGTATATTTATAAAGCACAGCAAAGCTGAATACCATGAAATTAAAATAATAATAGTCACTGATTAAGAAATCATTATCCCCTCCATCCACACAACAAATAAAGCTTACATTCTTGAGCACTCAGAGAACAGATCTGAGGCATATCACGTCAGCTGTTTAAACATCTACCCCCCAGCTTCGTTAGCACAAAATTCCTGAACCTTTCAGTTGGAACCTTCACATTGCTTTGGGATGGACATTCATCCATTTTTAGCCAATCCGGACTGTGCTCCCCAGTCAACTCGCGCAATCTTTATTCAAAAAGTTATTTAATTAAAATCATGAGCCATTATCGAATAAAGCTACCTAATATCTCGTCGAAACATTCGCTGGATAAAACGCTGACGCCATTCTCGACCATCACGTACACGTCATTAGTCCCGAGTTGTTTGCACTCGATCGGGCCCTGGGTCCAGTTCGTTGTTCTGTTTAAACGCCAGAAGACAGTGTACTGGGTTTCTGGAAGGACTTGTACACTGACATTCAGGGTCTGGCCACGTCTGCAAAGTGTGCTGCTGACAGAGCTTGTCTAGAAACAAACCAATCATGATAGTAGATGATAACACTGTAAGATATACTTGTTCACCATATACTACTTATCGCTAGGTGTCGCGTATACACTCCATAACATCTTAAACGTCTTCCAAAGGAAGTGGTCTCGCTTGAAGGTAAAGAATGAATGAATGAATGTATGGATGAATGAATGAATGAATGAATGAATGAATGAATGAGTGAATGGATGGATGGATGGATGAATGAATGAATGGATGGATAGAAGGATGGAGGGATGGATGGATAGATGGATGGATGAATGAATGGATGGATGGATGGATGAATGAATGGATGGATGAATGGATGAATGGATGAATGGATGAATGAATGGATGGATGGATGGATGAATGAATGGATGAATGAATGGATGGATGGATGGATGGATGAATGAATGAATAGATGGATGGATGGATGGATGAATGGATGAATGGATGAATGAATGGATGGATGGATGGATGGATGAATGGATGAATGAATGAATGGATGGATGGATGGATGGATGAATGAATGGATGAATGAATGGATGGATGGATGGATGGATGAATGAATGGATGGATGGATGAATGAATGGATGAATGGATGAATGAATGGATGAATGGATGAATGGATGAATGGATGAATGAATGGATGGATGGATGAATGGATGAATGGATGAATGAATGGATGGATGGATGGATGAATGGATGAATGGATGAATGAATGGATGGATGGACGGAAGTCTTAACTAACTAACTAACCCTTGAACTCAAACCTGCAATACTATATAGATTAATTTGTAATTTAGTATTGTAATTTATGTCACGTAACTCTGCAAATGCTCAATATAAAAATCTCATTAACAATCTTGAGAGCCATACTGGGAAACATTGGCGAGATCCCTATCAAAAAGGACGATGGCAGATGTTCTCCCTGTGCGGTCCCGAGCAAGTTATCGATACATTTGCATTTTCGGACATAAGTCAATCTCAAAAGCCTAAGTCGAAGCAAACCTTGCTCACGTATTATTTCGTACATTTTTCCGTGTGATACCATTGATCAGCTCGTTAATATGATAGAATATGGTGTGGAATAGTGACCCTTTTTCGTTGCGTTTTTTTTTGTTTTTTATTCCTCAGTAAATTGAGTAAGAAATACATTTCTCACCATATTCTGGATTGAGTCCCTGACCTCCACTGACTTCGAGTCACTCTGGCATCTAGATGATGCATTCCCTGACTGAAGTGTGATGTTATAGTTTCCTGGACTGATGTAAGAGTGTGACACAGTCTTTTGTGCACTAGTTAAACTGTCAGTAGTTCCATCTCCGAAATTAACCGTGTAGGCAGCATTACAAGAATCCTGCACGGTTAAATTAAAAGTCTGGTTTGTTCTCAGGATATCGGACGTTATGTTAAAGAACGCTGAAAAGCAACAGAGAAAGCTAACGTTATATGGGCAGCTTAATGACTGCCCCCCCNGCTAGGAAACAGTGAATTTTGTTCCCCCTTCGCACCCTAATGGGAGCTACCTTGGGGACGAAGTTGCGCGGTTTTTCGAGGCAGATGTACTGATTACGCGCGCTCTCTAGAATGTCTGTCCCAACCCACACTACTCGGGAAGAATTTGAAACCTAGCTTTATTTCTACGGTTAGGCCCACCGTCCACATTAATCCGTCACGAAAACGGAGCTTTTCTAAAACGCTCTTCAAACCGGGAGATTTGAAAACGCCAGGTTTGCGTTTTTGTGTGGACAAAAAACATTTTGAAAACGAAGCTTTTCAAAAATGAGGTTACGATAGTCATGACATTTCCCTGCCCGAACTTTACTCAAACGCAAATCCAAAATGACCGGAGATTGTTGCAGTTTTAAATTCCTCCGGCGTAGTGTGGACAGCTGGTTCTCCAAAGAAGCGAAGAGGAACCAGGGGACATGGAGACATGTAAAGTAGGTTGCGTTATGACTCTACCTTACTCCACACTGCGATTAAAGATCTCTAAAACACGCAGTCCATTTAGTGGTCATTTCTGCACTGAGCATGTAATCTTTACATTATAGGTATTTAGCGAGGTATTAGTAGATTCTATTATGCCTTTTGGGACGTTAGGGAGTTTGACAAAACCACAAAGGCAACGTCGACGAGAACGTCGCTAAACAGAATTCTTAATTGAGCAATACAATGGCTGTGCAGGTGCGTTATAATTCTTGGTACATTTCTTTGCCGTCCTCTGCAAAACAACTTAACATGAAAGACCAAATTCTGCGTTGTCTAGAAAACATGAACCACGAAGGCTAATTTTTAAAATTTCTTTTTCGAATTTAACGGTGCGTTCCATATTCAGTTTGGAGGAAAAAGACTAAATGACTTTGAGTATCGCGAGATTCATAGCTAAAATATAGATTTTTTAATCGACGTTGTCCTCGGTGTCGCCGTCGTGACTGCTTAAATTCCCCAATATTACCATTTCAATGCCGAACCGGTAGTCAGTTTGTGATATATTATTGATTAAGCTGGTTTTACATGATAATAATTTTTCAAGTTGCGCAAATTTATATATTATTCATTAGCGTGAGGACGTTTTCGCCTTGGCTTAAAAATTTGAAGCTGGTTGCACGACCTCCATGTTAAAAATATTAATTCTCCATTTACTGATTTCATTATTTTTGTAAAGTATCAGTTCAGAGAATTTGATGAAACCTTCCGAAGTTTCTCGGACGAGAACGGAATCACGCTTGGAAAATTAATTTCCGCAGAACATTCGAGCAATAATGGCAAAAATTAAGTTACCAAAAAAACCTCATGGCATGGTAATATTTTGAATACAATTAAGAAGAACTTTTCGAGACTGAAGCTCTCAAGCTGACCCCGAGAGAGAATTGAACTTGAAGTTATCCATATTTCAATTCAAACAGACGTTTCGCGTTCGTTAAAAACACAATAACACACGCTTTAAGCGTTCTAACGAGGTTTGACATTAACTTTTCCGAGAATGCTTGAGAATTTAATCGCGGAGTCAATTAGAGAAATGAACTAATAGTGAGTTGTTTCAAATAGTATTCTAAAAGTTACCGTGCTATGAGTAGATTTTCAGTAAATAATTTTTGCACTTATCGCTCAAACTTTGAGTGGAATCCGTTTCAAGTGTAAAACGCATCTTCAGTTTTACCAATTAACTGAAACATTTATTGAGGGCAATATTTAAGGACAGTTTCTGTTTCCATTTCTACTTTTCCCGTAATTAAAACCCTTTGCGGTTTTTGATATTTCAAGTGCTAGCCTCCAAAGTGATCACTTCTCTGATAATTTTCATTCGGTCTTGGACCATCATCATGGACAACAAATTTCTCGTGCACGATGCCACCTACTCTCTACGCTTCGTCGCTTTACAAGGAAAACAAGATATTCTGGAATAAGTTACCTTCAACGGACATTATCCACTGCAACGCCTGCGGCAGAAAAAAAATATTATGCTGTAAGAATAAGAAACTGACTTAACTTGAAGATATCTTAATTGAGGGGGATTATATTTCTTGCCTTTGGACTAAAGGATAGCTGACGAAAAGTGTTTGAACAATGGCTTAAAATCGTTTGGTATCTCACAATATTTTACTCTTCAGATAATCATCCAACAGAATAGGTACTTGTGGGGAGAAATTCCCCTATTTAATCAGCCGGTAGTATACAGCAACATAAAGTATACCATCAGTTTACAAAGAGCTGTATCTCACTTCGTATGACCCCTGAAACACTATTAAAAACAGTGCGTGGTATGTTTTAAACCTGAGCTATCAAAATAACATATTTCCTAATTTTTTCAATACTTGTAGCTGTCATTTAGTGTTTCACCAGGTTCTGGCGCCTTTAGTCACCATAGCTTTTACGCATACTTTTCACAAGATGTCTGGTTGTAACTTCTGTACCAAGACTAAAGTGAATGAGTCCAAAATAAGAAAATACGATATAACAATGTTTTTTCGTGCCGTACGACTAGATCAACAATATTTTTTTCCTGTCGTTTTTTGCATTTTTATTTTCTTGTAATGATATCAAAATAATAAACGTGTACTTTGTGCTATAAGAACCCTACCAGCACTGTTATCAGTCTTTTCACGACACAAGACAAAGCGCAGATTGTCTCAGCTTCCAATCCGCCGAACTAAGGTGATTCATATATGAAAACAGCTGCCGAATTTGTGAAGAAGGGTGGCTAAACTTGGCTGACTCACGCTTGAACCTGATAACCTTGTCAGTAGAGCGATGATAGTAAAATAATAGCAGTAACAGCTTATAACTTGATATGTAACATCGAAGCTGTAACAGTTTAATAAATTGGTGTCTTTTTCTTATTACTGCTACAGTTACTAAAAGAATTAGGAGCCGAAATGAAAGCTGAAATGAGAGCCGAGAAACAATTAAAATATACGAGGATAGTCTCCATGAAATTTAAAAGCCTTAGGTTGCAGAGTTCGATCAAAATTTTCGCCACTTGTCTAAAAATGTTCTAAAACGAGCTAAATTAATTGTTCCCCATGAAGGAGATGGGCTCCAATTATGACACGAAGGTCCTTCTTTGAAAAGAAATCCGATGTTAATATTCTGCCAGTCTAAGCGAATGAATTTTGAATACACCAATGAAATATGAATGTGTTTGCAAGTCTAAATGTTTGTGTGAAAGCACTATATTTTTGGCTCATAAGCCCGATTCACTTTAAAAACTTTTTCCAACGATGTTTTTTTTTTGATCGCATTTATACGCTAAGAAAATTTGAGAACGGATCTGACATTAAAGCTCAAAGTGAACTGAAAGTTGTTGACGTGGTTTAGTGTTCGGAACGTAACGGAAAGATCGCCCTCGATCTTGAGTTATCTGTAAGCTTCAGTACATTACAGAACGACCATGCAAACCAAAATAATATATATCGTCCTTACCTTATAATATATATTAAAATATTTAGCCAGCTTACCGATAAACACGCTCCGAAGAATAAGCACCTTGCGATCTTCATGTCCATTCAGTTCAAAGCTTACAAGTTTACATTTCTTAAACAGAACCTGCAAACGAAAAAAAGAAGTTGTTTACATTTAGAGGAACTTGACTTCATAGTCATTGTTCGAAAAATCAATTCACCCTCTTAGTAATATTCGTCAAAATTTGTCTATAGATTCTTACCGACTTTATCGAGGCCCGGACTGAAAAGTTGACTTGTTTAATAGTTGTGTCCTGTTTTGGCAGTTGAAATGAAGAATTTAATGACTTTTCATTGTAATTCTAATCAGCCGATACAGGTGGCCTCTCGTTAAATTGGTTTGTAATCAAGCGGATCACACCAAAAAATGCCCAAACTGTAAGCTTTATCTTTTAAGAAAATAATAAAACAAAACTAAACCATCTTATATGGGTGGATCGACTCCTGGAAATGTTAAAGGAAGCACATAAAAGCGACAACAAACAACGGCTTATCAAATCGTGTTTCTTTCCCTTAATCTATACTTCTTTCAATATTGTCTCGAATTATTCCCATATTCTTCCAAAAATTTTAAAACGTATATGTGCAAATAAAATCTTTAGGACATTCTTCAACCATTAATTGTGGTAAAACGAACGAGTGCGTACTGGTGTATGTTCGCTGACAAACTGACTGTTTTAAAACAAACTTTTGCAACTCCTCAGTATTCGTTAACATTCGATACCATTCATATTCATGAATGTAGTCATTAACTCGAGAATTGGTCAAATAGTTCTCTTTAAGATGAGTAATTGTGCCCTTTTAACTCGGAGCTTAGGTCCAGGGTCTGCAAAATTTAACGATAGCTGTAAAATGAGGTGAAATTTTAACTGATAGCAGAGAAATCAAGAATTAACTGATAACTGAAATTATAGCACCCCCATTAATACCCTGACATTAGTATTTATTGAAACAGAAGCAAAGCTTTTTAAAAAACTGTACTGAACAAACCGATCCCAACTAATGAAGACACAAGGTCCCTACACAGCTTTTGAACATTTTAGACTTTCAATGTCAGGTTGTGTCTCAGTGAATTCATTGCTTAAAGCCCCGCGTTTCAGATTCACTAAGCTATTAAACAATGCTTGGTCACGTCGTGTGTCAATTATATTTTGGCCAGTTGCCATTATATGTCTCTTACAGTTCTCGGTCAGATCTTACTACCAGCAGGTACTCGACTCAATACTGTTAACTTTATTTTAGTCTCAACATTCGTATGCTCACAGTGCACGGAAAAATTAAGTCATATTTGATTGGTTGATTGCTGCCGCTGTCACTCTGTCTCTCATTTAACTTTCAGTTGAATATATCATATAAATAGCTAACTACTCACACAAACTGCTTGTAGAATTGGTTATTGCTGTTGCTGTTTGTAAATTTTATTTTTCAAATTGCTATCATCTTACAACTTAAGACAAGAAAGCGTGTCAAAAGAACAAAAACAAACAAACAAACAAAAAAGCCAATATAGGTTGCTCCAAGATTAAGGGTGTTAAGCTTAGTCAATACCTTCTTCGTTCATGGTTTTGCATTCGTTTTAAGGTGGCTCAAAACAGTTTCCAGCACTTAGAATTTGATTGGTCATTATAACCACTCATTATCACTTGATTCAGTCATGGTATCAAAAAACCGCCTCAACATCGGTAAACACGTTGCTATCATTTTCGTGACGCAGTAGGTTACCATAGCAACAGTATGACCTGCTATAAACACCCTTAATTTTAGCTTTAGGAGTTTATAATTCAAAAACGACATGGTGAAAATTTTTAAAATTATCTATCAAATTTTGATAAGCACGATAAAACGCAACTTTCGGCAAAGTTTAAAAAATTCTCCACATAGGGTCCAGAGCCACCTTAAATTTTCACAAATTTTAGGTGGCTCTGAACCCCATGTACAGAACTTTTTTAAACTTTGCCAAAAGTTGCGTCTTATCATGCTTATCAAAATTTCATAATGTCAAAAAAATTTCAACGTGCCGTTTTTGAATTATAAGTCCCTACAGCTGTAATTAAGGGTGGTTTCAGTTGGTCATCAAGTGATAAGGAGTGGTTATAACGACTCATCAAAATCTAAGTGCTGGAAACTGTCTTGAGCCGCTCTAAAATCGCACTTTTATCAACATGAACACAAGCAACGCTTTCATCTTTATCATCTCTACACTGAGGAATGGTTGAAGAATTCATGAAATTGTTAAATATATTAGCATAGGTAATCATATGGTTTTTCTCGTTCAATTTGGAATTAATTTGCACGAGTGAGTTCTTCAAAAAGCTGAAATTGCACGAGCCGATCAAGCTCACGCACCAGGTGCGTGAGCTTGATCAGTTATTTTCGGCACTTCGCACTGAGGAACGGACGTCAGCAAATTAACGGCATTAACTACTTAACGACAAAACCGTATGATTACTTATAAATAATATAAACGTGAAAAAATTTGCGTGGAGGAAGTTCCGGAAGAGCTTTCTTGAAACCATTTTTTTCCCATTCGAGAAAACTTTTTTCAATGTTTCCGCACAAAATTTTCGTCAACATTTTACGTAGTATCACTGGCTTCGAAAATTTCCTATTGTCTTTCAGCCAATCATAATCCAGAATTTTACAATGTGTAATTTGCACTGGTGTTACACTTTTTGCACGGGTGTTAAACTTTTTGCACTGGTGTTACACTTGAACTGCACTGCTCTCAGCCAATCAGAATCGATTATTTTTTTTCATGTATATTATTATAGTACTTAACTTTTCTCGGGGCACCCCAAATAAACCTTATTTTTTCTTTTGCTTCAAAAATGATGAATTCCTGAGAGATTTTGAAACATTACTTGGCTTCTTTCAGTCAGAAAAAGAGACTCTTCACTAAATTGTAAAAAGAAACATGTCTGTCATAATATTACTATTGCAAAATAATGATGCATTATTTAGAAATCTTGACTCACTACGGCATCCTAAAACCGTTAATTGCGCTAGCTACATGTTTCTAACCAATTGTCTGAAAAAATTCCACGACTGAACATTTCTTAAATTTCAAGATCACTCGGTCTACACCACATTTTGTCAATATGGAGCTGGCACCTTTTCATTTTCAAAAACGTGCCCGGAACAAAAATTATCCTTGTTTGAATATTGATGGAAGCGCAACACAATGTTTTGTTTTCAAGGCCAATGAGATGTATCTACTAGAAGCTGTCAAGAGTCCTAATACGTATTTGATGTTGTTAGTGTTTAACAAAGTGCAAGATCGTCAAAATTCGAAAGTGGAGCTTCCAGTTCTGTTTGATTTTACGTTCGATTTCTACCGAATCAATTCCATAGCACGGCAAACTATGGTAGCTGTGCTTATCTTGAACACCGAACAGCCCATGACAGGCATAGAGGAGGCCATATATTTTTGTGTGAAAATTTTCCCTGAATTAACAACTTCTTTTGTGCTAGGCTTGAAGTTTTTAGAACGTTTCTTGGGGTTTTGTGCAGTAAGACCTGATTATGGGCACCTGCACCAGTTGCGTGAGGTCGATCGATCAGTTATTTTCAGTTATTTGCGGACGTCGGCAAACTAACGGCATTAACTACTTAACGACAAAAGATATTGTTTATCTTGCCTACCACTAAGTCTGCCATTGGCTAGTGTAATTGCAACCAAGTAGAACATGCCAATCACTTTTCTTAACTCAACGTTACGGAACATGAATATTTCATATCGGGCCGATGTTAAATTTTTGAAAAGGACTAAAATATTAATTAAAACTTCCAGGGAACTTCCTGCGTTAAAAATTATTTCGCTTCTAGGCATCCCCCTAGCAATAATTATGAGTCCTCAAGAAATTTTCCCCTATACGAAAGGTGTTGATGGTTGTTAAAGATCATCTGCAAGGCATCTGTTCCTAATATAAACACACGCATCATGGAAATTTGTTCTTATTTTTATATTTTAATTTAAAGTGTGGCGTAGTTGTGAAGGGGCTAATCGAGAGAGGGTTTTTTTTTCTCCTTAGTCATTTCAACAAAAGTTTGCGGCAAGACAGGCATAAAGTTGAACATCATTGAGAACGAAACTGCGAATCGACAAACAAACAAACACAGTAGGTTTTATTATATTTGGACTGTCGGCTATGCTTAAAACTTCCTCAGTTTTCTCGGACTCGAGGGTTATTAGAAAAGGCCTCAAGGAATTTAAAATGCAGTTAAACTGGTTTACCGAACCAACACTTAACAATGAAAGAATGAAAAAACGTTTTGTTTTCGAATTCACTGGATATAGGTATACTTAGTGATAACGTGAAATATGACTTTTCTATATCAGATTAACTCGAGTGCATGATGTTTAAAGTATCCCGCAGGAAAATATCAAGTGTTGAAGAAAACTTCCAAAGGGAGCCTCTGAAGAAAATAACCAATCGTTATATCTCATAATAAATTCCAAATTAAAGGATCTTATAGCTATCTTTGAAAGACAGTATTACAAAAATTTCCTTTTTCCCATGGTTCCGTTGATTAAAAACATCCTTTAAAAACAGGAAATAAGGTTGTGGAATAAACTTCGCTTGCATGTCTATAAAAGCTTCTTTTACAAAGCTATTTCAAGTAAAACGGAATGTGGTCTAATAGGACCGCGGAATATCACAGAAAAACGCAATATTTGAAACATAAACACAGCCTTACTTACCCATAATCAGTCACATCCTACAAAACAAGTGTTTCCGAAAGCTGGGTTGATGCGTTTGAAGTCAAAAATCAACTCCTGTTCAATGTTTTTGAAGATTGTTGAAGAGAGCTGGACGTTGCTTTTTCAGGCCTTGCCAGTATATTAATGAAATACCGGTGGCAACATGCATACGTAAAATTATAGTGTCAGGGGGCTGTGACATTGTGACGAAATTAATTAAAAATTGCAAACAAGATAAATTTCACCTGCTCTGGAGATATGGCAGATAAGAACTGGTCGTTTTCACAAAACTTCTAGAAGTAATGAAGGGTTATGCGTAATTTCAGCTTGCAATTAATAATGTGAGGTGAAAGTATGATGTATAGCAGATACCATATTAAAAC